TCCGCCTCCCGGGGACCCGAGGTGAGCCGAGTGGTCGGTCTAGATGGTAGCGACGGCGGGGACCTGAGCTGACCTCGCAGGGTCGCTCTTTTTGTTAACGGCAAAACCGCGCCCCCTCCCGGGACACTGGCTCAGCGGAACCTCACCCAGCAAGTCCCGGTATTGCGCTTTCCCCTCCTGACCTGTAAGGGAAGGCGGCGGGGAAGTCCAGTTTCCCTCTCTCACTGCAGGAGCCCCCCTCCCCAAGGATTTGTGCAATGCAATTCTTCAAAGAGAATACTTGATTCCATGTTTTCATATGAAACAATGTTGAAGTATAAAAAGTATCGATTTCCAGGCTGCGTCTACAAGTCACAAGGAAAACAAAAATGTTCCAAAGATACAGTATTTATTTCTCTACTAACCCTTGGAAAAATGTCTTGCTGGGGAGTAACATGAAACTTTTGTATGACTGAAGAAAGTGCACCAAGTAAATTGTGTAGAAATAATATATTAAGAGTACAATTGTTAGAACATAGTAAAAGTTAGGAAAATTCCAGGACACGCGGAATAGGGAAACTGGGGTAAACAGCAGTTTGCAGCCACCTGGTAAATCCTATCTCCCCTAAGCCAAGCACATTTAAGAGTAAATAGTCAGCACTTCTTTCCAACCAGAGGGTGAGTAGCAAAAATCATCCTACACAGAGACAGATAACAGAAATCCAATTAATGCCATTTGCTAACCGTACCCAAGGACAGACAAATTATTAGAACAAATCTCATTTTGGCACAGTAGCATAAAGCTGATGGATATTCTATTGATCTGCCCCTAAGACCTCCCCTAAAGGCCAAGCTTTTAAAACCCCTGAAAATGAAGGTCCCAATGCTCGCTCCCCCCCAGCCTGTGCCATTCCCTTCCCCCACAGGCACGTGTCCCCTAACCTCTAAGGGACCCCATGAGACCTGCAACCAGGGGAGCAATGGGCAGCGGCAGCTTATCCGTGCTAACCCCCTGAACCTGCCTCCAAGCACCTTTTTCCCCTTTTCTCTTACTTCCCAATGAGCCAAGGCAGCCCAGCCCAGGCTCTCCTGTTGCTGCTTCTGTGCCTTTCTTTGTCTATTGTCCTAAGTATATTTTTGCTGCAGTCAGTAAATTCTTGCTTTCTTTTCTACACTTTGTCTCTTGATTGAAATCTTTCCCTCAGGAAGACAAGAAC